CCCCCAAAACAGAAGTGGAGCCGCTGCTGTTGAAGGGGTGCTGCTGGATGGGATCTGAGGGAGTGTCAGGTTGCGGGGGGAGGTTGCTCCGGACGAGGGACCGTATTCCTCCAAGCCTAGGGGGGTTTCCCAGCCTGGCAGATGGGCATGGGGGAGGTTGAACCTGGCAGGGCCCCTGGGATCTGGGAGCAGAGGCTCCCCGCTGGGCTACTGTCTTTTGCAGTCGTTGGCACTGATGCTCTTTTCCAGTGCAGACACCAGCGATTCGTGCTTGACCACACAGCTGTAGCTGGCACCCGAGCCCCACTCGCTGGCCGGCACCGTCAGGTAGCTGCTCACTGAGTAGGTCTTGTCCTCTCCCAGTGCCACCAGCCCTGTTCTCACCCCCTGGGCCTGGGCCTGGGAGTCTCGCCTCCACAGCACGTCAATGTAGCCGGGGAAGAAGCCGCTCACCAGGCAGGTCAGGGAGGCGATTTCCTCCTGGGCTGGAGGGAACAGCTGGATTCGGGGCTGGGGCAGATTGCTCCCTGCAAACACACAGAGAGGACATTGGAGACAGCAGCTAGCATCCCCGGCTCACACCCCTCAACCTCACTGCTCTCCCAGAGCCAGGATAGAGTCCTGGCTCCCAGCCTGCCCGCTCTAACCACTAGACCCCACTCCCCTCCCAAAGCCAAGGCTAGAACCCAGAAGTCCCCACTGGCATCTTTTGAAAATATCTCTATGGAATAAACAAACCCAGCAGTTCCCTGATGAGCATGTGACATAGGCTGGAGATGAAATACATGCAGGAAGAACCAATGGCGCGCCACACACCACCCTCTCCCACTGCGACCCAGTCTGTCCCCCTCCCCCATCTTCTTGGGGGAGGAGGGGTGCAAGAGAAACACTGTCCATAACAGAAACTCCTGGTCTGGTTTCCGTGGGCGCTATGGAGAATGCCTCTGTTACCCCTGGGCCTCCTCCACCAATCTCAGTGTGCTCATCTAAGGGACAGGTCCCTGTCTGGCCACCATCACCCTAATATCGGAGATGCTTCAATTCACTGAGCCACGCGACCTCTGGGAGGTAGGGAAGGGCTGGTTCTCTGTTGCTGAGAGGGGGAACTGAGGTGCAGAGTCGCTGGCCCAAGGTTAGACACGGAGGCCGTGGCAAAAGCAGCATCAAATTCAGATCTCCCAAAGCCAGATCCTGACCCCTGGATCATCCTTCTATTCTAACGACAGCAAGCAGCTCCATACTCACTCAGCACACGCACGCGGGTCCCCTCTCCCCATGTCTGGACTCCAGCTGAACCATAAAAGGCGAAGCAGAAATAGATGGAGTCGTCTCCTTCCTGGACGTCACGGATGGTGAGCAGGAACTTCTTGTTGGAGGCGTCTCTGGAGGGGACGTATCGCTCCGGGATCCCCGGAGCTCGGTAAATGGACAGATCCGTTTTGAAGAACAGCACCCCTTCAGGTTTCTGTCCAGGGCTCTGCCGGATCCAGTTCATATTGACCTTGTCCGCTGCGACGTTTGCCACGGCGCATTCCAGAGCCACCGTCTGTCCGGGAGACACCGAGGTCTCGGAAGGGCTTTGGCTGAAGGAGGCATATTGGCACCGTCCACCTGCACGAGAGAAACCGGAACGTCATCTTGACTCCTTTTTGCTCATGCACAGAGCAGTAGGTTGGTAGACAGACAGAGAAACTGTAGATGGGTGGAAGGATAGATGGCAATGGAGAGATATCACCAATGAGAGTTGGAATGGATAGCTAGAGATTCTGGAGGTGGAGAGATGGAAAATAAATACTGCACATAGATAGATAGATAGATAGATAGATAGATAGATATGCATCAGGATGGATGGATGGATGGATGGATGGGGGAGAGATATGCATGGGGATAGATAGATAAATTGATTAGCAGTTAGATAGATTTCCTTGGGTGCTCTGGACCATATGATCCAGAGCCTCCTCCAGGCAGGGGAAGGAGCAGTAGTGTCCATGGGGGTTACTCACAGGCCAGTGAGAGCAGCAGGATGAGTCCCTGGAGCGGATGCATGGCCGACCTTCACGCTGTCCCCAGGGCAGAGCTGAGACGGTCCAGGGAGAAGCCGTGTCTTATGAGGCCGCGTATTCAAATCCAGCTGCCGATGGGAAACGAGGAAGCTCCTCATTGGCTCGGCCACAACTCCGGTGCAGCAGCCAAACCAATGGGCTTCGGGGCATGGGTGGGAGATTTGCCTATGGGTTCCCCCAGGCTGGGCTGGATGGTCTGTGTCTGTCATGTCCACAGACGACCCGCTGCTGCCGTTGGGTGTATTTGAACTTAGATTGTATCCCTCCAGTTGAGGAGCCATAGTCACCTGGGTTATCAGCCTGAGGACTTGGGACTTAGGAGATCCTGAAGGTACTGCCCCGGGAGCTGGAGAGCAGAGAACAGGCTTCATGATACCAGACAATGAGCTGAGAAATTAGCTCCTGGGTGGAGCAGGGAGGCTGGGAGTCAGGACGCCTGGGTTCTATGCCCACCCCCAGCAAAGGAGCCGGGGGCTATGCATTAGAGAAGGGGACATTGAGAGACAGGTTCTCTGGGCTCTATTCCGATGCAGCTTTGAGCAGATCATGTAACTTCTTTGGCGTCTCCATGTCCCTGTCGGGAACGCGTTGGTGTTCATGGGGCGAGAAGTGCTGTATAAAATATAGGGTCAACTCCTCAAGCGGTGTCACTCAGCCGAGCTTTGCTTGACACCAGCTGGGGATCCAGTCCACTGACTCCAACGCAGCTGCGGCCAATTCACGCCAGCTGGGCATCCAGCCCAATGAATGTTTTTGTTATCATACTAAAGAGCAGCTAGCACCGTTGTGTGGCGGCCCATAGGGATGGTGCTGTAGCTGGGATTTTAATCAGCCCTGCACATTGGTACCAGATAGAGTGAAGAAATGAAGAAATTCTTCTCACTGTTTGTAACCCCTCGGTGTGTTTCAGCATCAAACCAGGGATTGTCTTCTCGCTCTTCAAGGCATTTGAGACACAGCTTAATGCCAAAATCCCTCTCTGGGCAAGGGTGGAATTCCCTCCCTTTGAACTAGCTGAAACAGTTACCAGTTAAACTGGTGTCAAACTGGGGATGTATGTAGGGTCCCAAGAGTGTAAGATCCTTGTGTCGGTTCATAACTTGCTTGTCTCTTGCGCTTGGGGTGAGACCCAAAATGGCTAATACCATTAATAGCTAATAAATGAATAACTAATCATAATTGGTAATATTAGCTCCTCATTAATAGCTAATACATAATATACATATCATATCAACGTGAATTAAAATAATAATAATGTTTTTACGTGTTTATCACTGAGAACAGGAAATAATAATAAATGACCAACATGTTTTAATTAAAGTACAACAAAATTATGAATGCTTCATTACTTGTTAGTTATTAATAATAATTTTATCATTATTAATTAATCCCCTTCAGTCCCTTTTATGAGGGACACACCAAGAATAGGAGATAGAATTATTGGGCCAGATATATGCTACAATCTTACTACGAAGTATGAATATAAATGCCAAATGTATTTTAATGAATTACTAAGTTTGATTATTGAATAATTATTGCATATGAGTTTTGAATTCATGATGGGAAATGCCTTATCTTTCTTTACTAAACTAGTAATTAGTGGTTAAAGATCATGATTAACAATTAGTATTAACTGATCACAGATAAAATAATTTTAACAGAGATCGGTGACCCTATGTGTTAGTTTGACTCCATCATGTGTAAGAGAAATATAAATGATTGAAGAGCATTTCAATCTGAAATGCTGCTGTGTGAAAATGATCACATTGCATCTCTCTTCGTCCCAATCTCTCAGGAAACGGTTTGATTTTGAAAATAAATAGTATCGGCTAGATGCTGAGACAATAACAGTCAAATCTGTTTTCTAATAGAATCTTTATTCTTCTGAAGTGATTTAGAAAGAGCTAGGTTGGAAAAAGCCATGAGCTACTTCTTGCTATTATGCGATTTCTTCATTATTTAATAATAATAATAATAATAATAATTTTATTTTCTCTTTTTCTTTTTTCTCCTGATTTTACAATGTTATAACCATTAAACATTAATCTGCGTAAAGAAATCTAAGTGGTAAGACTAAAAAGAGATCTAAATTTTATTAGGTTAACTTGGAATTTTAGTTTTCTAATTTGAATGTATTTTCTATTTCATTGAATGTGATTAGGATCTCTTTATACATATTAATTGTAAGAGAATTCATGTTAACATATAGAGAACTAAGGAAAATGAGATTTCTGTATAAGCATATGTACCACATATACAACATGATAATTATTAATAAATACTTATAGAGAGATCCATATTTACTTCAGAAGAGATATAGGAAAAATAGAGTAATCTTAGTGGCTACGTAGAAGAAGGTGAAAGTCAGATCAGATTACTCTGTAAATATATTTCTATTATCAGCCTGTGTTTATAAAAGATCAAATGTTATTTATTATTAGTGTAGAAAGAGATTGAAATAATAGTAGATTGTTTCAATGATAATGATATTTTTAATAAAGGTATAGTATTAGGTTTATGAACAATACAGTTGCTACTGAAACTTATTTATAAAGAAAATGAATATTATCTGACTGGTTTATAATATGATGTTATTTTACTGGTTTATAATATATGTGATGTTACTGGTTTATAACATGATGTTATGTTATCTTGTATGATTACAAGAGATCAATATGTAGACCTATAGCTTCCTTCATAACTGTTATAACTATTAAGACATGATTTCAAAGCTATTGATATGAACAGGATTGCTTTATAAACATAGTCATTATTAATAAATATTTATTTACAAGAACTGCATAACATGTACCATCCTTTACCTCATTTTAAAAATACCTAAGTGAAATATTTGGACTGAAATCTCTCTACAGACACTTGTGATGTGTTACACAAATCTCTACACGAAAGAAAGCTCTAAATCCAACACAAAGCAATTGGATTAAAAGAACAGTAAGCGAGACGGGGGTTTCAATTAATTGGACTAGCACTAGGAACTTTTTAAGGCAAATGTTCACTCAGATACTAAAAATACAAGTATAGGAACATGGACAGATAGATAATTATACATAGTACAGATAGATGGATTGATATTTCTGCATAGCATGGTCAGATGGACAGAGATAATTCCACATTAGATAGATAGATAGATAGATAGATAGATAAATAGATGTGTGTTTATGGGGACCGTTAGATAATTCCATATAGGACGGACAGATGGATAGATTCACAGATACACAGCCAGAGAGCTAGAGAGACAGATAATTCCAGAGAGAACGGACAGATGGATATTAGCTGTCCTGTATCTGGCTGCCAGGTGCTGTGCTGGCTAACTGCTCAGTCTTGGTGCTATGGGGAGGGGCACCATGTGGGGTGAGCGCTCAGTGCTGTTATTGCTAATCACCCCGGGGTGTATTGAGCCGTGTCTCCTCCTTCCTCTGGGCTGTTGTTGTTTCAGACCCATCTGTGGCCCAGGGAACATTCTCCCCCCAGCCCCTCAGACGGGGGTGTCTGCAGAGCCACTGGGATCAGATACAGGGGGGCCAGTCCTGGCCCCACTGCAGGCAATGGCTAAACTCCAATGGATGCCAATGGAGCAGGAGGTCACCTATGTTTTCCCATGGGAGAAGGGGTCCCTAGCTCACAGACCTGTCAATGCTCGGGGTTATCCTGACGGGTTGTTCCCCCTGGACTATCCCTCTGCCCCTCCATGGGTCCGGGCCCCTCTGAGACTTGGGGACTCTTCTCATCTCCCCACTGCTCAGTGTCGGGGCAGATCGGGATCCTTCAGCCATGTCGGTCCCTGAATCGAGACTGTGACACACGGCTCCAAATCTACCCCATAGGGGCGACCGCATCTGGTGGGACGGAGCCATCGGGCAGAAGGAAAGAGGGCTGGGGAAGGGGAGTTAGGAGCGACCTGCTCCTTGGTGTCATGGCTGGAGCATGTGTGTGTGTGTGTGTGTATGTGTGTGTGTGTGTCCTCATGCAGATCTGCTCCTGCACCCAGCTGGGTCCCCTCTGGCTGGGCTGGGGCTGGTGTCCCTGTGGCTGGGGGTGGGTGAGGGTGGAGCTGTGGGGCACAGAGGGTGGGGAGCAAAGCTACAGCTCAGTGCCGAGGGGTGTGAGGGGGTCAGCACAGAGCCCAGGGAGCTGTGAGTGGGACTCCCAGGAGGGGGGGAGCCAGGATCTGAGCCCCAAGGGGTGCTGCGGGACCCCCTCTGTGTGGGATGGGGAAATAAATATGGTGAGAGTGAGGCACAAACAGGACAGGGAAGGGGCAGCAGGTCACACACATAAATGGCAGTGCCCAGCGACTGCCCCCTGGTCTAACCACTAGCCAAAACTCGCCTCTCAATGCTGGGGATGAACCCAGGAGTCCTGGCTTCCAGGCCCCCCTGCTCTAACCCCTCCCAGAGCTGGGAATAGAACCCAGGAGTCCTGGCCCCCAGGTCCTCCCCGCTTCAATGGAACCCAGGAGTCCTGAATCCAAACCATGTAGAGGAATGACAACCCAGTTCCCTCCTCCCTTACTGCCCCCATCCCATTTAAAATCCAAATAATCAAAACAAGGAGAAAATCCTGCATTAAACACACTAGCATAGCTGGGGCAGTTCCCCACCCCCCACAGTGATGGGTTCAGGCTCTCTGCACACTCAGGGATGTGTCAGATAAATCAGGCCACATCTTCAATCTTTCCTCCCCAGCCACGAGGCCTGGAAACTGCTTTGTATATGAAAATGAGCTGAAATTCTGCTGCAGTGACGTATCCCTATGGTCTGTAGTCCCCAGCCCATGATCTAGGCCTGGTTGGATAGCAGGCCACATCCCATGGGTTTTCATTGACACTATCAGAGCTGATGGCAGATGTCACGGGGGAAGCAGGAATTCCCCATTCGTTGCCTTACACGCGCCGGGGAATGATCTCATAGTATCTCAATTCCGAATGCTGCTCTGGTGCCTTGTGAAAACCCACCGGGTGGC